CGGTGGTGGGGGAACTGCAGAGTTCTCAGGGATTGACAGCTATGTCTCACAAAGCTTGGCATGAGTACTAGCACTTCCCAGGTCACAAGGAGAGAGCACTGTTGACATGAGTCCTCCAGGGTGGGTCTTCTCCCTTCTTAAATTTATTATGGAAATACCAACTGTGGCACAGAAGTAGGAAGAATGATGTGCTCACTCCCTGGGTGGCTTTAACAATTGGCAACATGTGAGGGATATCTAATGATAAATTATCATGGGATGTAACTCCTGAACCATGATTGAGCTTGTGACTTCCCAGGCCTCTGCACCCCGTCACCTTCCAGGCATGGTGTGTACACAGATGCATGAGCCCCTGACATTTCCTGTGTTTTGTGCCCATTTCAGGTGGAGGCGGAGGCAGTGTCCCTGGGATGGAGAGGATGGGCCCCGGCATTGACCGCATTGGGGGTGCCGGCATGGAGCGCATGGGCGCGGGCCTGGGCCATGGCATGGATCGTGTGGGCTCTGAGATTGAGCGCATGGGCCTGGTCATGGACCGCATGGGCTCAGTCGAGCGCATGGGCTCTGGCATTGAGCGCATGGGCCCCCTGGGCCTCGACCACATGGCCTCCAGCATCGAGCGCATGGGCCAGACCATGGAGCGCATCGGCTCCGGCGTGGAGCGCATGGGCGCCGGCATGGGCTTTGGCCTGGAGCGCATGGCCGCACCCATCGACCGTGTGGGCCAGACCATTGAGCGCATGGGCTCTGGTGTGGAGCGTATGGGCCCTGCCATTGAGCGCATGGGCCTGAGCATGGAGCGCATGGTCCCCGCAGGCATGGGGGCTGGCCTGGAGCGCATGGGCCCCGTGATGGATCGCATGGCCACCGGCCTGGAGCGCATGGGCGCCAACAACCTGGAGCGCATGGGTCTGGAGCGCATGGGCGCCAACAGTCTCGAGCGCATGGGCCTGGAGCGCATGGGCGCCAACAGCCTGGAGCGCATGGGTCCTGCCATGGGCCCGGCCCTGGGTGCTGGCATTGAGCGCATGGGCCTGGCCATGGGTGGCGGTGGTGGTGCCGGCTTTGATCGCGCCATCGAGATGGAGCGCGGCAACTTTGGAGGAAGCTTCGCGGGTTCCTTTGGTGGAGCTGGAGGCCATGCTCCTGGGGTGGCCAGGAAGGCCTGCCAGATATTTGTGAGAAATGTAAGTGGCTCTTAAGGACCCTCTCAGTGGTGGTGTGCACAAAGGGAAGGAGGGGGGCAGGAGGTCGGTGGGACCGAGTGGGGGCAGGGCCGAGTTAGAGGGGTGCCCTCAGAAGGGAGCTGAGGAGCGGGCATGGCCCCCTTGCCGCCGTCCCCAGCGTTTGGTGCTGGTAGGATGAGGGAATGTGAGAGCGGCTGCTCCGACTCTCAGGTGGAGTAGACAGTGAGCTGAGCTCTAGTTTCCTGATCCTTTGGCTTGAGGAGCCGCTAGGCCTTGGCATGACAGTTGGGAGGGGAAATGGCTGAATTAATCTGCATCATCTTTGATCACCAAGTTGACCCCCCTTACCAGTTTACTGTTGGGTGGTTCTGTGGGCCGCTCACCACAGGCAGCTGTGCGTTCTGCACTCTTACTGTCGCTGCCACGGACAGACAGCCTGCAGGGGGTGAATCTGGTGTGCCAGTGAGAGCCCGTTCCAGACAGAGAGCGGTCTGCTCTCTGCTGGCATCTCAGTGGGAAAATGAGCCAGTTTCTCCGTGGACTCATAAGTCCTCAGAGTCACCCTCAGGCAGCTGTGGGGTGTGTGCACATTGGGGTTTGGTTGAATCACTCATCCATCTCCTTTCCCCCCAGCTCCCATTTGATTTTACATGGAAGATGCTAAAAGACAAATTCAACGAATGTGGTAAGTGTTTGAGAAAGGCTTTCTAGGCGCTTCCATGTGTTGTGGCTTGAGAAATCTTAGCCTGGGGTGGTGGTGCATTGCACAGGGAAGCTCCCATCCTCGCCTTCACAGTCCTTTCCAGACTTGAGGGTGGAGGGAACTTGCCATTTTTCTGCCTGTGCAGATAGTCAAGCAGGTTGAGTTTCCTGTTGTGTGTCAAGCACTTCTCCCCTGCTCTCAGTGCCCCCCTTTCCCCTTGTACAGGTTTTGAAAGGAGGTAGTATTGCAGATGAGTCGGGTGATCTCAGGTCCCCAAGGCCACGTGGCTTCTGAGTGGCAAAACTAGATAGAATGAGTGCCGCTGAGGTAAGGCTGCTGTGCCCCAGAGTACTCCGCCCTGCCCAGGGGGGCGAGGCTGAGCAGAATCGGGGCCTCTGGCTAGTTTCCTGGCACACTAGGCAGCCGTTCTGGAAGGCTCGCTTTGTGGCTGAAAGGAAGTTGAGTTGTTCCCTCCACCCCCGCCCATTTGACCATGTCCATGGAGCCCCAGCCCTGGGCTGGGGTCTGGGCGGTTTTGCCGGGCCGACACTTCCTCGGGGTTCTCTTGCTTCCTGTTCGGTAGCAGTTGGCTCCAGGGTCACCACCATTGCTGATGCTCCCGGTTCTCTCGGAGTTGGCTGTTGAGACGTAGCTGCCTGCATGCCCCCTCTTTGCTCACTTGTAGCAGAGATTCCGAAAAGTCAGATTGGATCATGCTGCTCCCTCCTGCCTCAGGTGCCTGCGGGGGCCCAGGGCTCTTCGGACAGCAGTCAGAGCTCCACCCCTTCACCCCGGTCCCTCTGCTTCCATCCCCTCCCGTGCCCCAGCCCGAGCTGTAGGTGCTGTTCCCAGAGGGCTCTTGTGCTACTCCAGCACGAGTCAGTCTTCTGGTGAACTTAGGCTATTTCAGGACTTGCCTACACAGAGCCCCCCCAGATGTGGGCCCCTGGCGGCAGTGACACCATGCTGTCTTTGGCTCTGCTGCTGTCTGCACAGTGCATGACACATACCTGGATGCTTAGCCACTGCTTGAATGCCTATGTGAAACCCCTTTGGTGATTACAGGATGGCCCATATACGTCACTGTATCGGGAGAGGCCTTCCTTGTAAATCAAAGCCTCTAAAAACTCACCCATGAGGTCGGCTTCACGCAGCTCCCTTTCTTTAAACTCGAGGGAGAGGATATGCGTTTGGAGCGGGGAAGGTGCACATATGGGGCCTGATGAGATTGCTGTCCTACTAGCAGGCAGAAGAATGGCAGTGCGGCTGAGGGCCGTAGTAGCTGGGTTCTGGCTGCTGAGTTCTGAGCATTCATGCGCCAGGCACACGGGCAACTATCCCTTTTGACTCTCAACCGAAATCCAACAGGTGATCTGGACTGAATGGAGCCCAGACAGAGGCTGAGCTCTGGGTTTGCCTGATGAGTTGTGGTCTCTTCTCCCCCTGTGCCCAGGCCACGTGCTGTACGCCGACATCAAGATGGAGAATGGGAAATCCAAGGGCTGCGGTGTGGTTAAGTTTGAGTCACCCGAGGTGGCCGAGAGGGCCTGCCGGATGATGAATGGGATGAAGCTGAGTGGCCGAGAGATTGATGTCCGAATCGATAGAAACGCTTAAACAGTTGCCTTTTTTAAACATCGATACCAGATCTCTGAATTTGTATTTTTTCTTGTTAACCATTTTAATTTGTTGGCTGGATGTATAAAGATGTTTAAAAAATTCAGTTGCTTTTTGGGGTAATTTGAATTACTTTTTTAATGACTGGGGTTCCATTTGACTGTTTGCATTGAGATTGATTGCAACGTGCGCAGTTTTTTTTGTAGTTGTGACATCTTGTTGACATCAAATATGACTTTGATAATAAATACAATTCCTGAAAGCTGCTTGCTTTGTGGCTGTGTGGCTGTGGTGGGGCAGCCTCCTGAGGTATGGGGAGCTGGAGCCACTTGGTCCTCTTTCTGCCTTTGGAGCTGTGACCACCGGGGTGGTCACACCACCATCCTTGCTTGGCTGTGGACCCTGGCGGGGGAGGACGATGGCCCCAGCCATGTTTGGGAGACTTGAAACTGACCCTATGCAGATGGGCATTCCCAACCAGTAATGAGCATTCAGCTGTTCCGTGTCCTGCTGGGGCACAGGCCCTGTACCAGGCACACATGCGCTTCGGGTTTTGTCTTGGTCTGCTCTGGCTGCTGGAATACTGTAAGCTGGGAGGGCCTGACATGAGGACATGCACTTCTCATGTCATGGTTCTGGAGGCTGGCAGTCTATCGCGACGGTGCTGACAGATGCCACGTCTGCCAAGGGCCCCATTCTGGTTCACAGACGCCTTATCGTAAGTTCGTGTGAGAAGAGGCAGGCACCTGCTCAGGCCTCCTTTACAGGGACACTAACTCTTTTCCTGACCTGAGCATCCCCTGCACACCAGCATCTTGGGCATTAGGTCTCAGCATAGAACCGTGGTGATCAGGGGAGACACATCCATCTGGGGCAGCTGGTCTTGGCTAAGACAGACTGAGGAGGCTGCATTACCGTGCACTTAATCCTGTAATCCGGGCTGAACTTGACCCTTAGGCTTGGTGGGCTGTCAGCTGGGTCGCTACTCCCACAGTGTGACTTCATACCCAGATCTGCCTGGACTGGACAGCTGTTTGCAGCCTGCGAGGAGTGGCAACTGCTGCATGTCCTGTCTGGGTGTGTAGGTCACTGCTGGTTCCCCACACACTCAGGCAGTTCGCCAACCACAGAGACTTCTACTTTGAAGTCTAGTAAGGTACCATCTCTCACGCACCTTCCCACCACCGTTTCTCCTCCTGGCCTTTATCCCCGAGGGGTGAGGAGGGGGGTCGACCCCACAAACACCTCCCCCCAGGCCCCCCAGTGTTTGATCACGACTCCACTGCGTGCCAGTCGGGGAAAAAAGACTGAGAAGCAGGAATCGCTTTAATAAGGGGCTTTATGTAGTCTGTGTACGTGGTCGGGTGTGGGCCTGGGAGGTTCTGTGACCACCAAGCTGGGAGCCGGGACGCGTGGGTTAGGTGGCTGGGCCGTCGGGACAGGCGGAGTACGAGGCTGCTCTGGGCTGTGGTCCATGTTGCTGAGCACACTTTGAGGACCAGGCACAGGTGGTGGGTGCCATTTCTTCTACCTAATGAAAGACCAAGAAGAAACTTGTCATGCTCACACCCAGGATGGCACCAGGCAAACCTTAGAGGCCCCGGTGAGCTGCTGCTAGGCATGCAGCAGTGTGTGCTGTTCAGGACAGCCAAGGAGGGGAGTTGTTTTCCTGGGGCTATTCCTGTCACCCAGTCACCATCACACTGAGCTCCTTCCCAGCGGGACTGGTGGGCTCAGCTTGCTGAAATCTTTCTGCGCGTGGCTCATTAATTAGGTCATATTCCAGCACTGTAGTCAGTTGCTGCTGGTGTTCAGGGTTTTGACCGTAAGTACAGCTACAGCTTTGGTTCGCTACAGGGAAACCACGAGGGATTGAATGGTTCTGGGAGGGGGAGTGCAGGCTTCCGTCTGAGCGCTGAGGGTCTGGACCATCTTTAGGAACCCGTGCCACCGGCCCCCTCCTTGCTCTGCCCTCCTGAGTTCCGGTCGTAGGCGCACACTGGCTCCTAGCTCGGCGGGGCACCTTCCCGGACAGCCCTGCCAGCTGGGCCTCAGACTCTGCGGCCACCTGGGATCCACCGGCAAGGACTCAGAGTTTTCCAGTAAAATGATCTTGTCTGTGTGTATATTTCTTAATCCCCTCCCCCTTTCCTTGTTTTATTTTTTAATTAGTAGTAGTCTTACTCTGGAATCTGTAATAAACAAATTTCTGTTACCACAGAGAAATTTGGCTAATTTTTTTTTCTTCCTGATTTCCTTAGAAATCCTAAGTAATGCACTGAAGAGAGGAGAGATCATTGCAAAGCAGGGAGGAGGTAGGAAACGCTTAGTTTTGATGTTTTGATTTTTAGAATAGGCTGTTACTGTTGGGGATAGTAGAGTGCAGTGTTGAAAAGCATGGGCTGTAAAGTGGACTGCCTGGGGCGGGAACCAGCTCTGCTGCTTTCCAGCTGTGTGACATCTGGCAAGTTATTGAACCTCTCTGTTTCTTATACTATAAAACGGGGGATGTACTAGTACCTACCTCATAGGGTGGTTGTGAGGACTGAATGCTTATGAAAGAGTGCCTGCTAAGTGCCATTGTCATCACGTCTGCGGAATTTGCGGGCTTTCTTGTTCTCAAGACTATACAATCGTAAATTCCTAGAAGTAAATTTATTATAAAAGTGTACCACTTCATATGTAAACAAATGCCTACTATAATACACACAGGTACTCAAAAAATTGAGAAAATTAAGATAAATATCTGACATCTCACTGCCCAGTGGTGAGTGCATTAAACATTCTGGAGTATGTCCTCCATTAGTGTACTTTTTTAATGGGTATTTAAAACTGAGTGTATGTTTTTTAGCCCAGTTTTTCCTCACGGCTCTGAGTATATTGGCATTTCCTCAGTCACCCCCCTGGCTGGTGATGGCGCTGGTGGGTGGAAACTAGGCTCCATGTGGGTGCTGTTTCTTCCCAGTACTTGGCTGCTGTTGCATCTGGGGGCTCAGCCTCGGGTCTGATGCTCTTGGGCATGCTGCCTACCCTGTCTAGGTTTATAATGTCTAAGAAATTTCTGCTCTGAAAGTATTATATGCTTAAACTTGTGTTTATATTGTGCTACTTGGTGTCCTGTTACTCTGCTGAGGACACAGGCACAAAGAAGTGGAGTGACTTGTGCAGGGTCACTACACTGCTCAGAGAATCAGTTATAGAAACTGCTGAGTTTCTCTTCTTGCATTTGCATCTTGGCCTGCCTGGGCTGCCTGGATGAGTAGTGGGCTGGCTGTGGGTTCAGCCGCCCTGTTCCAGGGGCAGGGGCAGGGGCAGGGGCAGGGGCCAGGCTGTTGGTGGTGAAGCTTCAGTGAATGGGACCCTTGGCTCTGCATGTGGGGAAGTGGGCGGTGGCCTTGGTTGTGGACTCAGACCCTCCTTGCCTAGAGTAGTGAGCCTCCCAGGATCACTGTGCTGCTGACCTGCAAGCACTTGCCAGCTGAACTGTGGCAGGGAGGGGCTGACTCCTGGAACCCACTCAGCAGCGCCATCGACTTGTTTCCTCCAAAGCAAGCAAAGTTACGCACAGGTCGGTCGGCTTTCCTGACGGCGTAAGGCTCCCTGGAGGTGGCTGGCTGTGTTCATTTATACACAGAGGATCTATATTGGTGTTGGTGTTTATTGCTTGACTACAAGGCTGGATACTAGCTTCTCTGTACTCTGGAGGGGCTGAGGAAATAGTCAGACTGGCCGCTAGAGGGCGTCTTAGAGGGATAGGCTGGGAGAAGGTAAAGGTCACATAGAATCCATGTCATCCATTACATCGGTGACCAGCTGAGTTGGGGGCTTCCAGGCCTCCCCCGGTGAGCGCATTTCTCCATGCCCGGTGGTGGGGGAACTGCAGAGTTCTCAGGGATTGACAGCTATGTCTCACAAAGCTTGGCATGAGTACTAGCACTTCCCAGGTCACAAGGAGAGAGCACTGTTGACATGAGTCCTCCAGGGTGGGTCTTCTCCCTTCTTAAATTTATTATGGAAATACCAACTGTGGCACAGAAGTAGGAAGAATGATGTGCTCACTCCCTGGGTGGCTTTAACAATTGGCAACATGTGAGGGATATCTAATGATAAATTATCATGGGATGTAACTCCTGAACCATGATTGAGCTTGTGACTTCCCAGGCCTCTGCACCCCGTCACCTTCCAGGCATGGTGTGTACACAGATGCATGAGCCCCTGACATTTCCTGTGTTTTGTGCCCATTTCAGGTGGAGGCGGAGGCAGTGTCCCTGGGATGGAGAGGATGGGCCCCGGCATTGACCGCATTGGGGGTGCCGGCATGGAGCGCATGGGCGCGGGCCTGGGCCATGGCATGGATCGTGTGGGCTCTGAGATTGAGCGCATGGGCCTGGTCATGGACCGCATGGGCTCAGTCGAGCGCATGGGCTCTGGCATTGAGCGCATGGGCCCCCTGGGCCTCGACCACATGGCCTCCAGCATCGAGCGCATGGGCCAGACCATGGAGCGCATCGGCTCCGGCGTGGAGCGCATGGGCGCCGGCATGGGCTTTGGCCTGGAGCGCATGGCCGCACCCATCGACCGTGTGGGCCAGACCATTGAGCGCATGGGCTCTGGTGTGGAGCGTATGGGCCCTGCCATTGAGCGCATGGGCCTGAGCATGGAGCGCATGGTCCCCGCAGGCATGGGGGCTGGCCTGGAGCGCATGGGCCCCGTGATGGATCGCATGGCCACCGGCCTGGAGCGCATGGGCGCCAACAACCTGGAGCGCATGGGTCTGGAGCGCATGGGCGCCAACAGTCTCGAGCGCATGGGCCTGGAGCGCATGGGCGCCAACAGCCTGGAGCGCATGGGTCCTGCCATGGGCCCGGCCCTGGGTGCTGGCATTGAGCGCATGGGCCTGGCCATGGGTGGCGGTGGTGGTGCCGGCTTTGATCGCGCCATCGAGATGGAGCGCGGCAACTTTGGAGGAAGCTTCGCGGGTTCCTTTGGTGGAGCTGGAGGCCATGCTCCTGGGGTGGCCAGGAAGGCCTGCCAGATATTTGTGAGAAATGTAAGTGGCTCTTAAGGACCCTCTCAGTGGTGGTGTGCACAAAGGGAAGGAGGGGGGCAGGAGGTCGGTGGGACCGAGTGGGGGCAGGGCCGAGTTAGAGGGGTGCCCTCAGAAGGGAGCTGAGGAGCGGGCATGGCCCCCTTGCCGCCGTCCCCAGCGTTTGGTGCTGGTAGGATGAGGGAATGTGAGAGCGGCTGCTCCGACTCTCAGGTGGAGTAGACAGTGAGCTGAGCTCTAGTTTCCTGATCCTTTGGCTTGAGGAGCCGCTAGGCCTTGGCATGACAGTTGGGAGGGGAAATGGCTGAATTAATCTGCATCATCTTTGATCACCAAGTTGACCCCCCTTACCAGTTTACTGTTGGGTGGTTCTGTGGGCCGCTCACCACAGGCAGCTGTGCGTTCTGCACTCTTACTGTCGCTGCCACGGACAGACAGCCTGCAGGGGGTGAATCTGGTGTGCCAGTGAGAGCCCGTTCCAGACAGAGAGCGGTCTGCTCTCTGCTGGCATCTCAGTGGGAAAATGAGCCAGTTTCTCCGTGGACTCATAAGTCCTCAGAGTCACCCTCAGGCAGCTGTGGGGTGTGTGCACATTGGGGTTTGGTTGAATCACTCATCCATCTCCTTTCCCCCCAGCTCCCATTTGATTTTACATGGAAGATGCTAAAAGACAAATTCAACGAATGTGGTAAGTGTTTGAGAAAGGCTTTCTAGGCGCTTCCATGTGTTGTGGCTTGAGAAATCTTAGCCTGGGGTGGTGGTGCATTGCACAGGGAAGCTCCCATCCTCGCCTTCACAGTCCTTTCCAGACTTGAGGGTGGAGGGAACTTGCCATTTTTCTGCCTGTGCAGATAGTCAAGCAGGTTGAGTTTCCTGTTGTGTGTCAAGCACTTCTCCCCTGCTCTCAGTGCCCCCCTTTCCCCTTGTACAGGTTTTGAAAGGAGGTAGTATTGCAGATGAGTCGGGTGATCTCAGGTCCCCAAGGCCACGTGGCTTCTGAGTGGCAAAACTAGATAGAATGAGTGCCGCTGAGGTAAGGCTGCTGTGCCCCAGAGTACTCCGCCCTGCCCAGGGGGGCGAGGCTGAGCAGAATCGGGGCCTCTGGCTAGTTTCCTGGCACACTAGGCAGCCGTTCTGGAAGGCTCGCTTTGTGGCTGAAAGGAAGTTGAGTTGTTCCCTCCACCCCCGCCCATTTGACCATGTCCATGGAGCCCCAGCCCTGGGCTGGGGTCTGGGCGGTTTTGCCGGGCCGACACTTCCTCGGGGTTCTCTTGCTTCCTGTTCGGTAGCAGTTGGCTCCAGGGTCACCACCATTGCTGATGCTCCCGGTTCTCTCGGAGTTGGCTGTTGAGACGTAGCTGCCTGCATGCCCCCTCTTTGCTCACTTGTAGCAGAGATTCCGAAAAGTCAGATTGGATCATGCTGCTCCCTCCTGCCTCAGGTGCCTGCGGGGGCCCAGGGCTCTTCCGACAGCAGTCAGAGCTCCACCCCTTCACCCCGGTCCCTCTGCTTCCATCCCCTCCCGTGCCCCAGCCCGAGCTGTAGGTGCTGTTCCCAGAGGGCTCTTGTGCTACTCCAGCACGAGTCAGTCTTCTGGTGAACTTAGGCTATTTCAGGACTTGCCTACACAGAGCCCCCCCAGATGTGGGCCCCTGGCGGCAGTGACACCATGCTGTCTTTGGCTCTGCTGCTGTCTGCACAGTGCATGACACATACCTGGATGCTTAGCCACTGCTTGAATGCCTATGTGAAACCCCTTTGGTGATTACAGGATGGCCCATATACGTCACTGTATCGGGAGAGGCCTTCCTTGTAAATCAAAGCCTCTAAAAACTCACCCATGAGGTCGGCTTCACGCAGCTCCCTTTCTTTAAACTCGAGGGAGAGGATATGCGTTTGGAGCGGGGAAGGTGCACATATGGGGCCTGATGAGATTGCTGTCCTACTAGCAGGCAGAAGAATGGCAGTGCGGCTGAGGGCCGTAGTAGCTGGGTTCTGGCTGCTGAGTTCTGAGCATTCATGCGCCAGGCACACGGGCAACTATCCCTTTTGACTCTCAACCGAAATCCAACAGGTGATCTGGACTGAATGGAGCCCAGACAGAGGCTGAGCTCTGGGTTTGCCTGATGAGTTGTGGTCTCTTCTCCCCCTGTGCCCAGGCCACGTGCTGTACGCCGACATCAAGATGGAGAATGGGAAATCCAAGGGCTGCGGTGTGGTTAAGTTTGAGTCACCCGAGGTGGCCGAGAGGGCCTGCCGGATGATGAATGGGATGAAGCTGAGTGGCCGAGAGATTGATGTCCGAATCGATAGAAACGCTTAAACAGTTGCCTTTTTTAAACATCGATACCAGATCTCTGAATTTGTATTTTTTCTTGTTAACCATTTTAATTTGTTGGCTGGATGTATAAAGATGTTTAAAAAATTCAGTTGCTTTTTGGGGTAATTTGAATTACTTTTTTAATGACTGGGGTTCCATTTGACTGTTTGCATTGAGATTGATTGCAACGTGCGCAGTTTTTTTTGTAGTTGTGACATCTTGTTGACATCAAATATGACTTTGATAATAAATACAATTCCTGAAAGCTGCTTGCTTTGTGGCTGTGTGGCTGTGGTGGGGCAGCCTCCTGAGGTATGGGGAGCTGGAGCCACTTGGTCCTCTTTCTGCCTTTGGAGCTGTGACCACCGGGGTGGTCACACCACCATCCTTGCTTGGCTGTGGACCCTGGCGGGGGAGGACGATGGCCCCAGCCATGTTTGGGAGACTTGAAACTGACCCTATGCAGATGGGCATTCCCAACCAGTAATGAGCATTCAGCTGTTCCGTGTCCTGCTGGGGCACAGGCCCTGTACCAGGCACACATGCGCTTCGGGTTTTGTCTTGGTCTGCTCTGGCTGCTGGAATACTGTAAGCTGGGAGGGCCTGACATGAGGACATGCACTTCTCATGTCATGGTTCTGGAGGCTGGCAGTCTATCGCGACGGTGCTGACAGATGCCACGTCTGCCAAGGGCCCCATTCTGGTTCACAGACGCCTTATCGTAAGTTCGTGTGAGAAGAGGCAGGCACCTGCTCAGGCCTCCTTTACAGGGACACTAACTCTTTTCCTGACCTGAGCATCCCCTGCACACCAGCATCTTGGGCATTAGGTCTCAGCATAGAACCGTGGTGATCAGGGGAGACACATCCATCTGGGGCAGCTGGTCTTGGCTAAGACAGACTGAGGAGGCTGCATTACCGTGCACTTAATCCTGTAATCCGGGCTGAACTTGACCCTTAGGCTTGGTGGGCTGTCAGCTGGGTCGCTACTCCCACAGTGTGACTTCATACCCAGATCTGCCTGGACTGGACAGCTGTTTGCAGCCTGCGAGGAGTGGCAACTGCTGCATGTCCTGTCTGGGTGTGTAGGTCACTGCTGGTTCCCCACACACTCAGGCAGTTCGCCAACCACAGAGACTTCTACTTTGAAGTCTAGTAAGGTACCATCTCTCACGCACCTTCCCACCACCGTTTCTCCTCCTGGCCTTTATCCCCGAGGGGTGAGGAGGGGGGTCGACCCCACAAACACCTCCCCCCAGGCCCCCCAGTGTTTGATCACGACTCCACTGCGTGCCAGTCGGGGAAAAAAGACGAGAAGCAGGAATCGCTTTAATAAGGGGCTTTATGTAGTCTGTGTACGTGGTCGGGTGTGGGCCTGGGAGGTTCTGTGACCACCAAGCTGGGAGCCGGGACGCGTGGGTTAGGTGGCTGGGCCGTCGGGTTGTCCTGGGTCCCCACATCTGAGGCCTTACTGTCCCCTGGGGAATGGTTGGTTCTCCAGAGGGTCTGCCAAGGAAGGGTGACTTCCGGTGACCCCTGTCCCCGTAAGCAGCGGCCCCAGGGAATGGGGAGGACGCTTACTCCCTCCCGGAGCACCGTGGGCCCTTCCCGCCTGCCCAGAGGGGCTACGTACCCCAGAAGTCCACGTCGTCATACACCTCCGTTTCCCTGGCGGACGGAGGGCACGTTTGCGTCTGCAGGTTTGGGAAGGGGAAGGCCGCGCCCCCCGCGCGCCCCGGACCCGCCCCCGCGCGCCCCGCCCGTCGGCCCGCCACTCACAGGGGCAGGAGAGCGGTTCTGGGCACGTAGCCGTCTGCGGAGAGAGCGGGCCGCGTGAGTTCCGGCCGGCGGGTGCCCGCCCCCCAGGCCGCGTGCGCGCCCACTCACACTTGCCCTTGGCGTCGCGGCACAGCATCTCCTCCTTGTTGGTGAACTCGATCACCTCCAGGATCTCCCCGCGCCGGATCCCCAGGTGCTTGCCGCCACCCCGGCGCGTCTTGGCGTTGGGGTCGATCATCATCCTGGTCAGAGTCACGATGTCGCCCTCAAACTGGGGGGAGGGGAGAGAGGAGGGTTTTGCTCGTCGCTGCGGCCGCCCCCCGGCTTCTGCGGCTGCGATCGCGCGGCGGCGCCTGTGGGCGCCCGCTCGGCTGCAGGCCACACCTTGAACTTCTTCCGGAACTCCCTCTCTGCCTTCTCCGCCTTGCGGATCTGCTTCAGGGCCTTGGGGTCCGCGGGCGGCAACGGCTGCGGCTGGGGCGTCTTCTCCTTCCTGGGCCGCAGAAGGAAACCGTGTGCTCCTTCGGGGCGCCCCTCCCACCGCCCTCCCGGAGCCTGGCCCCTCCCTGTCCCGTGCCCTCTGCCGGGTGGTACCTGAGCTCTGGATCTTGGGGCGGCATGGGCCGTTGCTGGGTAGATGGCACTCCTGGGGGCAGGCCGGACATCGAGTCAGGGTCCCGGTGGCCTGATGGCAGTCTTCCCTGTGTCGGTTCTCAGGACGTGGTCCCCCCCCCCCCCCCCCTGCCCAGCCTCTGGGCCTTCCCCGCGTGCGGAGCTCTAGCAGAGGGCCTTCGCCCATTTCCCCCACTTCTGCCGCACCCTGGGCCAGGCAGGGCGTGGACCTCAGCCGCTCAGCCCTCGCTCACAGCCCGTTTATTTAGGGCAGCACGCAGCACCGTCATTGCCAACTTGCTGAGGAGCAAAGGAAGGCTCAGAGAGGGAACGCCACCTGCCCAAGGCCACCCAGATGCCGAGTGGTGGAGGCAGCGTTAATTGGGAGGCTTTTGACGCTGTTTCATGGCTTTCTCAGAGTAGGTTGGGTTCTGGAAACCGTAAGGAGATTTGGATAAAAAATAAGTCGAAAGCATTTCCCAGAGGCAAACGATGTTTGTGAAGGGGCTCATGGGGTGGGTTTGTGGGCTGGCCTGCCTGAAGAAGGCTGAGGGTCTCTGGGTGAGGGCCGGCTGGCCAGCCTGCAGCCCTGAGGCTACTGGTGAAGGGTTTGGCTCACACGAGAGCCTCAGCAGCAGCCAGGTGGGTGGAGGATCTAGAACCTGGAGCCCAGCTGTTTGCTATCCTCCGAATGACGCCAAGCGCCTCTCTGGACATTTTGAGCCGGAAGGCCCTCCCGTCACACAGCCCGTGGAGGGGTGTTTGCGCGGGGCCCTCGTCCCCCTTCAGACACCGAGCAGGCCTCCAGCTGCAGGGCCCTGCGGTTCCCCCCCACCGGGCATTTCCTGCAGCTGTTCCGACCTCCTCCAGAGGCTCCCAGGGCCCCTACAAACCCATCTTAGCACAGGGCGCACCCCGGCCACCGTGGGGGGCAGGCCCTGGGGGTGGCTAGTTCAGATCCTGGAAAGGGCTGGGCCTGGGTTCCTCAGAGGAGCCTCCGGCTCTGCGGGGGCCTCCGAGTGGATCTGCCGCCCCCCAGGGGAGGTGGAGCCAGCCGAGCCAGAGGCCAGGCAGAACGGGCTGCCTCCGGGAAGACCTGCTTGAACACTCCCTGCCCGTGTCCGTCCCCCAGGGCGCCCCCCGGACCCGAGCTGGAGAGCGTCCCTGGAGCTGGATGGAAGCAGGAGGGCCCTGCCAGGAAGCACTGGGCCAAATGGGGGTGTTGCAAGTGGGGTCAGGGAAGCTCATGAGCCGCAGATGTGGGCCTGGGGGGTGGTGCTGGTGGAGAGGAGTGGAGCACCCCAAGGTTACCCCTGAGGAGAGGCTCCCCACAGGAGGCCCTTCTGAGGGGTGAGGCAGGCTGAGGGCCAGGCCAGCCAGCTGAGCTGGGCATGGCACTGCCAAGAGGGTGGGTGACGCGTGTGTAAGCCTGGAGCCCTGGGGGTGCCTGTGGGCCTGGACCTGCGCTGCTGGCCTCCTGCGTGCTCTCCAGGAGCAGTGACTTGGAAGACGGAGGTGAGGGTCCTTAGGGACCCCAGAACAGTGAGAGGTCCTGGGATGCAGGCTTGCAGGGTCTGCCACTTCCAGTCGCCAGGCCCATGTGCTGCCTGGACACAGCAGGTCTACAGGGGAGCCTGACACCTTGTCCCCCCACCCACCCCTGGTCCCAACTCAGGTGCCTCCACTCTGCCCCCAAGTGCCAGGCTCAAAGTGGGCCTCGCTTGGGTCATGGGCTGGCCTGCTCCCTGCTTAATATTCTCTTGCTGCTTCTCACCTGGTTCTGCTGCTCGGGCCACACCCCCCTCAGCAGGGTCCCTTGGCCTCTGTGCTGTCCTTCCCTTCCCGTGAGTTCTGCCCGCCAGAAGCTGGTGTGACCTTTCTGAAAGGGCTCCTCCCCTCTGCTGCCAGGGAGATGGACTGTGACCCGGCCTCATGCCAGCACCGTGGCAGAAAATGCCCTTGCAGTGAATGTCCCAAGGGGCCCGTGCAGGTGGTCTGGGGAGGGTCTGGCCCCACCAACCTCTGCTCTGCGGGCTGGAGCCATCCGTGGACTCCACGTCATCGTACAGCTCGTAGAACTCGTCTGGGTCTCTGCAGAGATAACTGGAGTGAGGGGCCCTCAGAGCCCCCACCTGGGCCCCCCGTAAGCCCTCCTGTACTCACAGCAGGGTGTCTGCGGGCTGTCGGGCCTGGAAGTGGATCCCGGTGGAAGAGCAGGTCCTCCGCAGAGCTGTGGGGAGAGGAGAGCAGGAGGGAGGCAGGCGCTGCCTGGGGCTCCCTGCCAGGCTGCCGGGCCGCCTGACCCACCTGTGGCTCCAGCCGAGTCTCCCCGGAAGCTCTGGATATCCCAGAGGCCTGGGGGCAGTGGGGGCTTGGCCGGAGGGGGTCCCAGGCTGACGGCTGGCGGCAGGGGCCTCCGCTGCGGCGGGCGGCCGGGTCTGAGGCCCAGCCTGGACCCTTCACGGTGAGAGAGCACTCCTGACCTCTGTGGCCTGGCCCCAAAGCCCGGGCTGAGCAGAAACCTGGGGCCGGAGCCTGCGACGGCGGTGGGCAGGGAGCTCTCCGACACGGAGCCAGGGAGCGGGGGCTTCCTGGGGAGATCGCCCAGGAACTCGGTGTGTGCGCGCTTCTTCGGCAGAAGACTGGGCTCGGGCTGCGAGAACTTGCGGGGGGGCCCCCGGCAGTGGGGCTGCGCCAACTTCCTAGGGAGCAGGCCGAACTCGGGCTCCGAGGACGTCCTGGGCAAGCCGCCCAGCTCCGGCTGCAGGGGCTTCGGGGACAGTGCTTTGAGGTCCGACCGCTGCGGCCTCTTGGGAAACATGTTGACTTCGGGCTCCGAGGACGTGGTGACATCACCAAACTCCAGCAGCGGGGGCTTCCTGGGGAGGTCACTCACCTGAGGCGGGGGAACCTTTCTGGAATACGCACTGCAGTCAGGCGGCGACGAGTGAGTTGGGGGCTCACTGGACTCAGGCTTCCAGGGGGCTGTCTGAGGGGCCTCACCCGACTCGGGCTGCGCCAGGAACTTCTTCGGGAGGCCTCCGACCTGAGGCTGCGGGGGCTTTCTGGACTGCACACCGAACTCGGGCTGCGGGGGCTTCTTGGGAAAGGTACCGACCTCAGGCTGTGGGGTCTTTCTGAGGTTTGCATTGAACTCAGGCTGCGGGGGCTTCTTGGGAAGGACACTGAGGTCTGGCTGCGAGGAGCGAGGCAGGGGCTCGCAGGACTTGGGCTTCCAGGGCGCTGTCTGAGGGGCCTCGCCCAACTCGGACTGCGGCAGGGACTTCTTTGGGAGGCTGCCGACCTGAGGCTGCGGGGGCTTTCTGGGCTGCATACCGAACTCGGGCTGCGGGGGCTTCTTGGGAAAGGTACCGGCCTCGGGCTGCGAGGGTTTTGGGGTGGCCTCATTGGACTCAGGCTGCTGGAACTTCTTGGGGAATGGACTGAATTTGGGTTCTGGGGGCGGCCTGGTGGAATGGCTGAGCTCCGGCTGCAGGGCCTGCTGCGGGGCCTCGCCGACCTCAGGATGCGGGGGCTTCCTGGGGAACAGAGTGGCCTCGAGCTGCGGGAACTTCTTGGGGAGGTCACTGGACTCCAGTTTGGAGGGCTTCTTGAGCAGGCTGGTCAGCTCAGGCTCCGGGGGCTGCTTGGGGTGCGTGCTCAGCTCAGGCGGTGGGAACTTCCTCAGGAGTTTGTTGAACTCGGGCTTCAGGGGTTTAGGGGGGAGTTCGCTGGTCTCTGGCTGGGAGGCCTGGAACTTGGCTTGAAGGATCCGGAAGTCCTGATGGCTCCCCTGGGGAGACACGGGTCGTTGGCAGGGCTGGAGGAGAGACGCACACCAGCTCCCTTCTCCTGGCCCTCCCTATCGGCTGAGGACTCCCACACTTTTGTCTCCAGTCTCCCCAACCCAAGTCCCGAGTCCTGGGCTCCTGCAAACTACACCCTCATGACCCCTCTGCTTAGGAACCCAATGTGCCCTCAAGCTCCCTCCCACCAGCTCTCCCCTGCAATCAGTGGCGCCTTCCAGGTATCCCTGGGGTCCCCTCGTTCTTCCACCCCCGCATCTCCAGTCCCTTCTGTTCTAATTTCAAAACACATCCGGAATCCAGCCACCTCTCAACCGATTGTGCCATAGTCCCCCGCCCGCATCTCCACACCAGGTCGGGTCCCTGCTCAGTTCCCCCCTACGGCCGCCAGAGGGAGCCTGTCAGCCCTGCGTCGGTCTGGGCCGCTCTGCTCAAAATCCAGCAGTAGTAACAGCTGGGGGCCTCCTAGGCCCTGACCGGGGTCCGGCATCTGGCCCGCGGCATGTCCCAGAAGCTGGCTGTTCTCTTCTTCCCTCCGCAGTCTCCCCTGCAGGGTTTCCTCATTCGAGGGGCTCCCTCCTAGGCAGCCCTCATGTAAAAGCCCACTCCCCTTGCCAGGGCTCTTCCTCAAAGTGTGCTACCTCCTACCTGCCTCATGTTTATTCACCCTGCTGCTTAAATGTCCTGGACTTTTTTGTTCTATGCCCTCCACCCCCAGCCTCTGTAGAAGGTCAGCACTACGGGCCACAATTGGGCCCATTACTACTGTCCCCCCGCCCCTCTGCCAGTGCCTGGACCACAGGATGTGCTCAGTTAAGTATTTATTGAGATGCACATTGGGGCACGCCTGTAACTTGGCCACATTAGTCTGACCTCCACGACTCACATGGTCCAGCAGAGACACAGACCTGGAGAGACCTGGAGGCAAACGTGGGCGTAGGTTTGCTCTCCCACTCCCAGACTCTCCCGCTGACCAGCACAGGCCCCCAGTACCCCCTGCGCCCCCCACCCTTCACCATGGTCGCAGACACAGGCAGATGCACAAGACGGCCAGGCCTGCTTCCACCGATGTTATCCCACGGGTGGCCCTGCTGCTGGCCCCCAAGCCTGGCTTCACCTGGGGCCGAGGAGCCTGGGGAAGGGGAGAGCCGCCCATCTGTGCCTCACTTTCCCCATCCAGACGAGAACAGGTGGCCATTCCTGCCTGGGGCCTGAAATGCCTCTGTTAAAGCCCTGACACCGGGTGGGTCAGCACAGGGCTCCCGGTGGACCCATAGGGCCGAGAAGCCAGGGTCAGCAGGTCATGCCTTGGGTGACTGCCGGGTGGGGGTGGGCAGTGCGTGCATGACCTACTGTGTCGCCCACAGTAAGCCCCTGAGCTCCCCCTGGCCACCTGTTACGAGCTTGCTGTTCATGCTGACCTCGGGGAGGAGAGGTTAGGGTAGTGCCACCTGTCCCCCTTAGGAGTGCAGCCGCAGCTGTCCCAGAGATGTGTCCTGGCTGCTTCCTGCCTCCAGGCCTCTGTGATGGCCATTCCTTCTTCCCAGGCAGCCTTCCCAGCCCCTGGGCCTCTCCACTTTGCAGTAAGCCCTCCAGTTTCCCCCTCGGCTCCCCTTGACTGCTGCCTGTACGGACTTGCCCAGGCCAGGGGCTCACTCACCATGGCTGCAGATGGTTGACGGGCCATCGGCAAGTGGGCCTCGGGCTGGGGCTGTGCCTTCAGGAAGTGACTTGTGGCTTCTGCTCCACGGGCCCCACAGGGTGGGGGTTGCCGCGGGGTGGGGAGGAGGAAGGAAAGGTGGTGGGGACAGCCCCCTCTGAGTGTCTGTCCCCAGGTCCTCGCCACGCGAGCTCCCACTGTTGGCTCCTCGCTTCATGCATCAGACAGGAGCACCCTCCCAGCGCTGGTCCCAGACTCTGCTGCCCTGCTGGCTCCCACTGCGTGCCCTGCTGGCTGCTGACCCCCGGACTCCAGGGAGGACCCCTGCCAACAGGCAGGCCAAAGCCAGCTCAGCTAGGGCCCCCACAGGGGGCTTCTCCGGGGGGAAGGGGTGTGTGCACCCTGGGCTGAGGGAGCACTATGGGTGAGGCCCTTCTGCCGGCTCCCGTTGCCTCATCCGCCTTCCTCATTTCCACACTTTCCGTAGTCCTGTTCCCACCTCCGCACAGGACTTCCCTGTCATGGGCAGATGTCACGTGGGCCGCGGCTGGGCAGAGGGCCCGTGTGGGATGGCAGATTGGGTGGTGGGTGGGTGGGTACTGTCCAAGGTCTTGCCTGCTGGGCAGGGAGCGGGTCTGAGAACACCCTGGGTTCCCAGAGGACAAAGTCGAGACAGCTAGGAGGCCAGCGGAGGTGAAGGCAGTGGTCCAGACCAGCGTTGTTAGATAGGGCATGGGGCCCAAGCAGATAAGGGCTAGCCCTGACCACAGGGCGCCCAGTGACCCCAGCAGAGACCAAGGGCAACGCCCATGGGGAGAGTGCGGGGCCCTGATTCTCAGTTTAGCCATGTCGGAACTGCCCCCCAAGATTCCAACTTAATTGGGCCGGGATGTGGCCCGAGCTGGTGTGGTACTCCAGCATTGTCGGGTCGATTCCAACATGCCCACGAGTCATGCCAAAGACCCCAGTGATGTGCAGGTTCCGCCCCAGCTCATGGTGGGGCCTCAGGTTCAGGAACGTCCCCGTAGCTGCCCCATGCTGCTGGTCCCAGGATTACACCTGGAGCAGCAGGACATGGAGCTTCCAGCGGGTCCAACTGAGACCGAAGAGGCGGGGGCCTGGCTTTGGGGATATGGCGTTCCCAGCAGGACCTTATTCGTGGGCAGCAGTGAGGAAGTGACTGCCTGTTAGGATGTGTGTGTTAGGAGCACAGCTGGAGGATTCTGGAATCCCTGTCCCTGCATGCAGACACACACCCTGGGTGACGTTCCTAGATGTCCCATCAGGAGCCCTGAGGGGCCAGGGATGATGAGGTCTGGGTTCCCCCTGGGTCCCGGGACCAGGCTGGTCACAGGCTGACTGGAACCACCTCCACCCACCCCACTCCACCCCACCACCCCCTCCACGCCCCGTGTTTGGAGAGGGAAAGAATGAAAGAACAAACGATTATTGGCTGAAAGCATACAACAGGCGCTGACGGTAGGCTAAAGGATTGATTGACAGCCAGGGGCTCGCGGGGCGGGTACCCGCGTCCCAGCACAGGCCCCAGGGGGCGTGTCTCCCTCCCGATTCTGCGCAAGCGGCGCTCTCCAGGCGCTTCGGGCCAGGTCCTGCTGCGCAGCCAGGCCCGTGGACGGGCCGCTTCGCTGGGGCTGTGCAACTGGAAACCCGCGGAAGGGGGCGCGAGCCAGGGTCCGCCTTGGGAAATTGGGGGTTCGCTGGGGCGAGCGTCTGGAGCTCTGCGGCCTTGGGGAGGGGTGCCGGGGTTCCGCACGCGTTTGGGAGCCGAAACTAGCGCTTCCGATCCTTGGGCAGAGCCCAGGCGTGCACCTGACTGCCCTGGGCCGGGGCGGGGACCGGGGCAGAGAGGAGTGGGCACGTGGGCAATCCTGGAGCGGCGGGGCGCGCAGGGGAGCCCGGAAACCGGGTTGGAGGTGCCGGGCGGGGGTCAGGAGCAGAGCCCGGGGACGCGCGCCCGAGCTTTAACCCCCCCATCCCAGTCCGGGGGAGGGTAACCGAGCTGGCGCTGGACAGCTGCCCGGCAATGGAGAGGCACCTACCCGGCAGGCCTTACGGGGAACTCAAGCTGCTGGAGAGGCCCAGCTTGTTCATCGTGAACCTGCAGTCTCCGGCCAACCGATGTGCCCCCCGCTGGGGCAGCTGCCCGAGGCGGTTGCCTGCGGGCGCTAGCGGCCCCGCCATTCATTCTCCCTTCAGGCGGGCACTGCTGGGCGCCCTCTGCTGGGCGAGCCTAAGAGGCAGGCACACTGGAGTTGTGGGGCTGGGGTCTCTGCGGGGTCACAGCTCGACCAGAGGGAGGTCAGGGGCGGTGGGTGCCCAGAACGGAGGCTGGGAGCAATAGACTTCCTACGTGAGCAGGCAGGAGTTAGAGGGGGTGTGAGTAGGTGGTAGTTTTCAGAGTGGGCAGCGTGCCCAGCCGGGTGGTGGTGCAGCTCCCTAAGCCTCAGGGCAGCTTCAGCCTGTTCTGGGGGGCTGGGGATGCGGACCCACTGTCCCCGTGGGAGGGCTGCTGCATCTCTCTGGCTGACAGGGTGGCAGGGAGGTACCTGGCCCAAGGTCTTGGCTCTGGGTCTCTCTGGAAGGGTCCTGACAAACTGGGCTGTGGCACTACCTTGCTGTGGGGGTGCCTGAATGAGGGGCTTCATGCAGGGGAGGATGACTCGGGGGGTTGGGGGACCCTGGTACCTTGGAGACGGGCTGGGAATCTGGGGGACGGGGAACACTAAGCCCTGTTTCTGGAGATGAAAGGTGGGGACTAGGGCCAGGTTTCCTTCCAAAGGCGTCTAGGGGCCTTGGGAATTTGGGAAAAGGGGAGCGCCCTTGGGGCCTCACTGCCTGTTCTCAGTGGTGGTGGCTGTGCCCAGGTGACACAGAATCAGGGAAGAGCTTGGAACTGGTCCTGGCTGGGCAGGGCTCAGCCAGCTTGCCCTCCCAGCCTCACCTTATCTGTTTGTAAAATGGGCCCCTTGACCCTGCCACTTGCCTCCCTGCCTTCTTGAGGGGGTTGGGGCAGCCACCACCAGTGTGGGGCCCAGAAGGGTGTGAGTCACTGGAAAGGATTTCCCGCACCCCCACCTTCTCTAGTCTTTGGGTCCTGACACCCCCCGAGGACCAGGAGGGTGCCATGTGAGGAGGCTGAGTCTTCCCTCACATGAAGGGTTGCACAGTTGTGCCAAGGCTTCTGGCTTAGGAGAGTGCTGAGTGACAGTCGCCTTGGCAAGGGCCTGGAGGTGCTGGTGGGATGGACACCTGGCCTGAGGCACCTGAGCCTTGGCTGCCTCTCTGTCAAGGACATCACAGCCCTGAACCCTGCGAGGCCCAAGTTGTGAGGAGGCCAGGGAGGTATGCCCCTGGAAGGGGTGGGGAAGCTCAAGAGGGGGTCTTGTGGGCTACTAGCAGAGCAGGATCTTTACCCAGCAAACTATGGGAGCTACCGAAGGGTACTAGTCAGGGCAGGAACACGACCCCAAGAGACAGGTTTCCAGGGGTGTTCAGGCAGGATGGGGAGGACAGCAGGTGAAACTAGTGCTGAGGGCCGGCTGCCAACACCATATGGGGCTCCCACACCCAGGGGGCTTGGCTCGCTGGCTCCTGGTGACAGCAGGCCTGGGACAGCAGTGTGGCACCAGATTTCGAGCCCTGACCCTGGCCCTACTGCCCATGAAGGAAGACTGAGATGGGAGAGGGGTGAGGACGGGGGGAGCCCAGGCTCGGCAGGGCTGGCCTTGAACCCTGTCTTCCACAGAATGGGGACAGCAAGAGAGGCCCAAGCAGGCAGCTGACAATGAGGCCTGAGCCCCCAACCTGCCCTGGCACCACCCAGCTGCTGGGGCTGTCCCACCATCCTGTCACCCTGTGAGTCGGCACCGGCCCCAGGACCTGGGGGACCCCAGCCCGGCCAGCCCCAGCACTGTCAGGCTGGACTCCTGGAAACTTTAACATACATTTCTCCTCCCATCTGGCTTCTGAGACAGGCCAGTAGATGCCAGCTGACCCGCCTGCAGCTGAGTGGGGTGGCACCGAGCTGAAGACCCAACTGGGCTCCAGTGTCGAGGTGACAGGGGAGGGGGCATACAGGTGCACAGTGAAGGGAGGCCCGGCGCCCTCTGCGAGGGAGCGTCCCAGGACCGCTAGAGTGCCCACTATGCACAGGAGGGGCGAGGGATGCAGACACAGCTCAGGCTGGCTCATGGCGCCTCCTTTATTGACCCCCGCCCCTCAATCTCAGGACCCCCTAAAATTACAAAGCTACTCACACCCCCACACACACCCCCTCCCCCAGCGCGCCGGGGTTCAGAGCGGCGAGAAAACCGGACAGTCCCCGTCTGACAGCAGCGATGACACCGTAGGTGCAAGCGGGGCCGGGTCTGCGAAGGGCAGAGGAGGGGGCGCCTGAGCCTCGGCCCCGCCCCCCGCCTCGGGCCGCCACCCCCCCGCCCGTGCGCTTCTCGGCCTTACCCGCCGGCGCGTCGCGGCGCGGCTGCGCCAGCGCCGGGGCCGCGGGGGCGCCGGGGCGGTGGTCCTCTAGGTGGAGTGTCATGGCGGGCCGCGAAGCCGTGGAGAAGGCGCACTGCATGCACGAGTAGCGGCCGCGCGTGTGCTCCCACACGATGCGGCTCGGGGCCGCGTGCCCTGCGGGCAGGTGGGACCCCGTCAGTGTCGGGCCGCAGGCCGGAGGGTGCTGGGCGAGGGCGGGGCGGCCCCTTCCCCGCCTCCCCTTGAGCTCCTGGGCGCCGGTGTTCCGGCCGGGCTGATCCGCTTCTCCCAGGCGCGGTCCCCCTTGTAACTGCGGGCACTAAACGGTTCTCGTCTCCCACTCCCAGTTCTGCAGCCACCGCAGGGGTTAGACCTCGCCAACCGTGCGCGAGTTTTACACGGAAACGCCGGCGCAGATGAAGGCGCAGGGGCCATTAAGTTTTAAGGCAAAATCCTGTATTTCGGGCATGGCGTTTCTGGCCATCTGCGAAGGAGGCGGGCACCGCTGTTGCCAGCATCCCGGGCCCGGCTGGGCGCAGGACGGAAATCCCCTCCATCCCTCCCTGGTGGTCACCTGCACGCACCTGAGGGCGCGTCGGAGCCGCCCTGGGGTCTTCGCGGGCTGCCGCCGGCACCTGCGGCAAACCGGCGGTCAAGGCCAGAGTCGGAGCCAGCCCAGCCTCTCCGCCAGCGGCCTCGGCCCCGCACTCACCGTGGCTCTTCTTCCAGACGGCGGCGCTGGAGGCGGGTGGCCCGGGCGCGGCGGCCAGGAAGGGGCGCAGGCGTGGGGGGCTGAGGCCAAAGGGCGCGGGGTTCAAGTAGGGCAGGAAAGGCCCGCTGGGGGCGGGGGCTGGGGTCGTGAAGGGCTCGAGCAGCGGGAACTGCAGGCCGGACGCCGACGCAGGGTCAGACTCCGGGGGTCGCTCGGGCGCAGGAGGCTCCTTGTAGAGGGCGGGGGGTGGCGGCGGGGCTGGGCTCTGCGCATGCTCGGCGCAAACATGCAGATGCTTGAAGAGCGAGCGGTGCGTGCGGAAGCGCAGGAGGCAGTTCTCACACCTGGGGGCAGGTACGGAGCTGGGCTGGTCTTCCCGGGGACCAGGGCGGGGTCTATCTGATGCCAACTGGGGAGCCGCCGCGCGGGGGTTGTAAGGGAGCCTGGGCCCAAATCACAGCTCCCTCCTACCGTGGCCGCGACCCTTACAGACCCCTCCGGGGCGAACCCTGGGAAAACGAGGAAGAGGTCTCAATTTTGACTTGGGCGGTCTGTTTTTCTCTTGGGAGGTAAGGAGGGGCTGGGAGGAGCCACCACGTGTGCCCCGCCCCTTTTGAGCTCTCCGTGGGTCCCTAGCACTTGCTCCAGCAACCAGCCCCTCTTCCGGGCAGTTAAAGGCAGGGCTTGCCCGAGGCCACGCCCACTTCCAGGCCCAAGCCCCCGACTGGGAAGGGAGAAAGGCTCGGACCCCAGTTAGTGGCTACCAAACCAGAGCCTGGCAGAGCTGCCCTGGGGCCTGTTCACCGAACACCAGTGGAGGTCAGAGTGCTCAGGGTCTCACTTGAAGTAGCGATTGGGTTTGTAGTGCAGCTTGCCGTGTGCCACCAGCTCCTGCATGCTGGGGAAGGTCTCCGTGCAGCTCAGGGTGGAGCATCGGAAGAGCTTGCCTGACAGGTCGGGGATGAAGGGCGGAGCAGTGGAGTGGCCAAGGCTGGCCCGGAGGCTCTGCCTGCCTCCCACCCTAACCGGCCTCTCCACCACCTACCCTGGCCCTACCTTCCAGGGACTGGGTGGGTGGGCAGTGGGTACGCAGATGCTGCGCCAGGTCGCGAACGCTGGGGAAACTGAGGCAGCAGCCAGGGCTGGAGCAGGGTATCTGTTTCCCTGAAGGACGCACAGAAGGGGGGGGTCACCTGTCCCTTTCCCATCCACACTGTCCAGAACTCTGCCCCAGAAAGGCATATATGAGGCTGGAACTACTCCAGTAGTCTCCCTCTGCCTCCCCCACCAGCCTGAGCTGCCAGAGGGCAGGGGCTGAGCTGGGCTTGTCAGTGTAGTCATAGCCTGGAATACATCTGGTAGTCAGTGACTGGTGCTTCTCTTTAGATGGGCCTCTACTTTGGAAATACTCTATACACCTCCTTGCTATTGTTCTAAGGCCTGTGACTGCCTTACCAGCGCCCCCTGCCCTCGCCTAGAAGGCCCCATCACAGGTCACCTGGTGGTAGGCGTCGTCTGGGAGGTCTCAGGTCCTCGCTGGTCCCGGAGACAGTGCTGGTTGGGCGAATGCTGGGTCCAGGGCTGGGCTGGCCACTATCTGGGGCTGTGGGTGTGGCTGCCCGGGCAGGGCCTGGTTCCTCCGCCGTGGAAGAGAGGGTGGCTGCAGCAGCCATAACAGGAGAGAACACCACCTTGTCCGTGTCACTGAAGCTGGGCTCTGCAGAGGCCGGCATGTCCGGGTTGGGCAAAGGGGGTTCCTCCTCCTGGTGGAAGGAAGTGGTGGGGAGAACTCTGGGCCCACGGTCGGCCTGGGCCAGCCAGGGGAACCCCTCCCACCCCGCCAAAGCCACTGGGCATTCCTGAAGCATCAATCACGTGGCAGCCCCCATCCTAAGGAGTCACCATCAAGGGAAGGCAGGGGGTGAGGGCCGACTGAGCTCTGCCTCCGGTGTTTCCATGCTCTGGGAGGGAGGTAGGTGTCCCAAACGCATAAAGAGCTACCTGCCGGATTACCCATATGAAATAAGTATCCACCTGGTAAGGTGGGCGGCCCCCAACGCGGCAGGGCGTGGCCTAAGAAGAGGGCAGGACAAAGGCTACGAAGGCGGGGATCTGAATAAGGCGCGGCCAGGAAGATGCTGGAGGGGCCTGAAGCAGCCAAGTGGACTGTTTGCAGACGGAGATACAGACACCCGCCCGGCTCCAGTGGCGCAGGCAAACTCGGAGGCGCTGGTTGCCCGGATGTGCAAGGATCAGGGGCGGGACTCGAGCCCTATGGGCGGGGCCTAGTCGTAGCCAGGCCCGGAAGTGCGGAATAGGGAGCTCCCCGAGTGACAGCCAGCGGCAGGCGAGGGCCCGGATATGGGGGCGGGGCCGACCGGAGGGTGTGTGCGCGACAGAGCTGCTCCCTGCCAGATCCAGTTGGTTCGCCGCGTCCGCGCTCCCGGCGCCGCGCTCACCATCCTCGCCACAGCTCAGCCTTTTGCTCCTGCGGTTCCGACGGCTCCTGCTGAGTTTGCGGCGACTCCCTGAGCGGCCGCGGGCTCGCGCTCACGTCGTCGCCATTTTCCGTGTCCCAGCTCTCGCGAGAGCGGGGGCGGGGCCTGAGCGCGGGGCTCCGCGAGGGGGCGGGGCTCCGTGAGGGGGCGGGGCCTGAGATCTCGCGGCCTCCGGGACCCCGCCGAACAGAAGAGGGTACAGATTTAGGAGCGCGTGTCTCTACGTAGAGATCCGGGATTAAAATATTCCCGGGTTTCTGTGTTATCGTCTGCAAAATGGGCATCTTCACCCATCTCGTCCCGTCCCATCACCAGCCCTCTAAGGGGGATAAACCACGCTTCTCCTTTTTGAAGAGGTCGTGTTTATTGGACAGCCTCTCTTTGGAGGAAAATTAGCAATGATAGTCAAAATTTTCAGTGCACTTAGTTCTAAAGTTGAAATGGGTCTGTTGTGATAGCCAAGGGCAGGAAGCAAGTTAAATAATAAAAGGGTGTAGACCAAGGTTGGAGAGAGGAGTGTCTCCAGGAGGATGGATGGCTTGGAATGAGTCACCTATCCAACACCTGTTGCTCGAGTGTCTACTGGGTGCTAGACGCACAGGACCCAGAAGTGGAGAGGGAGACTGCCCTCGGGGGCCACTCACATTTTAAAATGGGGAAGCCCAATGAATCAAACGCAGAAAACTATCTTAGGTTAAGCCTTTCTGTGAGGTGACTTCTGAGCTGTCACCTGATGGTCAGGAAAGAAAGTGAACGGAAGGTCAGCAGGTGCAAACGTCCTGAGGCCCAGAGGGACAAGCTTGTCTCTTTCGAAGACCAGCAAGGAGATGAGCGCATTGCTGGGGCAGAGTGGAGGTGGGGGCCTGAGATCAGAAAGTGAACATGGCACAGGGGGGTCATGCAGCACCTCGTGAACCATGGAGAGAGGGAGTATGGTTTCTGTTCTAGCACTGATGAGGTTTTAGCAAGGCAAGGTCCACCATCAGGTCCCTGGTTGTCACTCAGAGGACAGGCTATTGTGGGGACAGATCTTTGCTCTCAGATCTCTATAATACATCATTTAACCATCTGAGAGGTGTTTGTTGAATTCTGGGCAAGTGTAGACTTTTGTGTGTAATATATTTCCATCTGTGTGCTTAAGATGTGCCTATGTGTCTTTATATGCAGACAATACCGTAAGAAGGAGACAATGAAAAACTGAGCGGAACAGGGATTTTCGAGTGAGGGAGAGCCAGACTTTTCACTTTTCTGCCGTTTTCTTAAAGAAGTTTTCTCTTGATTATCATTAATACAGTTAAAAACTCATTAATTTAAAAAACAAAAAGATTATGTTGACGCAGCATGGAGAGTAGGTGCGTGTGTGCTGGGAGGTCAGTGCAGCCCGGGGCAGGGTGAAGTGAGGCCTCAGAAACGACAGGGACCCAAGGAAGGGCCAGACTTAAGAAATTTTGTAAGAGTCAACAGGATGTGGGCTGTGGAGCGGGCAGAGCCAAGGTAACTCTCAAGTTTGCCGTCTGAGGTCGCCGTAACCTAGATGTGAAGCACAGAAGGCCCTACTTCCTGAAAATGGGGTGCCTGCTACAGTCACAGGGCTGTACCCCAAGGGTCAGGAGGGGGGCGGCAGGCTGCTTGGTGAGTTCAGGGACAGAGAAGGGAGACGAAGCCCTCCCTGGTTACTCTTGAGCACCAGGAAATACCTGGCTGATGAGGCTGGTGGCCCATGTCGACCTACAGAGCCTGGCCTCACATCTGTCTTGCAGAGAGAGACGCGCCCAGTGGTGGCTGGGCAGTGAAGTGGCAAAAATCGGAGACAGGAGGGAACCAGCGACAGTCAAAGGACTGGGTAAATGCTTTTGTATAATGACTGGCTAATAAAAGGGCCAGTTGAGACCCAGTTGCAACCTTGGGATTTTCTTTCCGGCCACACTCAGCTTCCCAAGTTAGGTGCAGAAGAGACGGTATGGGTCTTGCAGCAGGCTTTGCTGGCCAGTGTTTCTTTTGACTCCTCAGCTCCCATCCTCCAGTTGGGTAGGAGTCCTCTTGCCTAGAGGGCTCCAGTCGCAGCACAGATCACTCTATCTGCATTGAGACCCGCTGACACAGGCACATCTCATTGTTCTCGGCTCCTCCCACAATGCTCTCCCTCTCTCTGTATCTTATCCCCTGCCCCAGGCCCTTTTCCTTCTCTGGCCCCAAGTGCTGACCCCAGCAGTCTGGCTGATCTTTGAGGGACTGAGCATGGAGGGATATTTATTTGGAACGTCTTAGACCATGGCAGGCCTCCCATCCAGTTCCAGGTGCACCTGCAGGGCATTCTGAAAGGCTCAGACTATAGCACCGGTTTGGAGACAGCTGGGGAGACCAGTAGTCAGGCTGACGCGCTTCAGTAGGGACAATAAAGTCAGAAAGCCAGGGCCCCTGAAGTATGAGAACCGGTTCTGAGCCCAGGTGAGTAAATGCTAAGAAGGTCAGACATGCTGTGGTGAGCAGGGGCTGGGGGTGGCCCAGGGTGGATTGTGGGAGGCCATGTGGGCCTTGACTCCTTGTTAGTTAGGTCCCTGATGGGTTTGGGGGCTGCAGATTCAAAGCTGACAGGACCTACTGGCCTATTTTCTGCAGGAAAGCTGGGATGCAAATGGCTAGGAGTGGGTGAGCTGTCAAGTGAGACAAACGCAGTCTTTGGGTGATGTGGGGTGGGGGCATACATGGTTCTGTGGAATCTTGGGCAAGTAACAAAACTCCCCCGAGCCTCTAGTTTTCCACCTGTGAAATGGGGCATTTGCCACTCCTACATCGCAGGGTTTTGAGAAGCTAGTCCTTGTTTGCTCTCAGTAAATTCATCCATGCCTTCACCCGGCAAACATTTATTGCCTCAGCGATGTGAGAAGGAGGGAAGTTATGCTTGTCAAGCCCCCCCACCCCCACCCTCTACTGTGCCCGCACTCTGTCGACAGGACACGATTCATTTCGTATTCACAAGGCATCTGGGAGGTAGGTTCTGCTGTTAGCCCTGTCTGATACAGGAGGAAATGGGTATGACATGAGGGACGCCAGAGCCCCGGGGTGGCTGCAGTGGTGACCCCCAGACCCAGGGCCTGGGCTGGGCAGGGCTGGAGGCCCCGGGACTGGACCTCTGGGCCAATGCAACCAAGGAAAGAGAGACCCCTCCACCGGCAGGGCCAGGCTGCCCGGCAGAGAGTCAGGCAGGCGGGCAGAATCCTGTGTCCCCCTCTCAGATCTTCTCCACGTAGTTTCCCGGGAAGAGGCCCTCTTGGCCATGCAGCCGGCCTTTCCACCAGCCTGAGGAATCTGCAGGAGAGACGGGAGTGTGAGGCAGCACCTTGTACTGGCTCTGTATCTGACTCATCGCCACCAGCCTGGCAGATGGCAGAGGCTGAGGAGAGATGTCAGCAAATGGAAGGGAGGATGGACAGACGGGCACTTGGCTTTTTCTTGCCACAGACTAATACTTTGTGACTTTTCTAGACCCTTTTCTCGTGCTCTTCTCTCAACATGTCCTAAAGGCACCTACCTCTCCACCGTCCCCAGGAATGACCCCTTTGGGGCACCCCCATCCACCTGCAGAGGGTGCTGTTGATCCCAGACCCCTCTGGGGGCAGCCCAGGGTACTAAGGGAGGTGGTCTGGGCCATGCCCACATGACCCATTTCCTACTCACAAAGGGTCCCTGGGGGTAGGTTCTGTTATTAGCCCCGTGCTTGACTGAGGAGCAAAATGGGGTACTCTGCATGAGGCTGGGAGGCCAGGCCCCTGGGGTGGCTTAGGAGGTGACCTCCAGACCCAAGGCTTCCAGCCTGTGTAGCCACTGGCAAGGAAGAGGGTCTCTCTGGCGGGGTCTGGGGCTGGTTGCCTGGGCTCTCCTCTGCAAGTGTTGGGGGCTGGGGGCTGGGTCGCTGGGCCACGGCTGGGACTGACTCCTCCCACCTCTGCCCTGGACACACACCTTCCAATAGGATCTCAATGACCTCGTTCACATTGAAGCTCAGCTCGTCCACATCTTGGCCCACATACTGGTACAGTGCTCGGCACCGTGGGCCATGCGTTCGAGGCTGGGGTTTGGGTCGGCCCACCCCGGGCACAGGTCGCTGCCCCACGCTGCGCTTCCTCTGCATGCTGCGGGTATGGGGGCAGTTGTCACAGCCCTGGACGCTTCCCCACGCGGCCCCCCACCCCGTGCACCTCCTGGGGCTGTCCTCTTTCCCTGCCTACCCTGCCGCGCCCTGGTCTGGCACATTGAGGAATTCTGTGTTGTGCTCTGAGGGGGGCCGTGCCCGCGGACGTCTGCTGGCCCTCAGGGCAGAGGATGGAGGGCCTTGGGGGGGCCGCTGTGAGCCCCCTCCAGATGTGATCTCCATGGGCAGGGGCCCCCTTCTGGCAGAGGGGGGCACCCCATTGCGGTCCAGGCCTGGGGCAGGAACAAAGATGGGGTCATTTCTCGGTGATGTTAAGAGGATTGGAGGGAAGCCTTGGCTCAAGTTCGCGGTCTGAGGTAGGAAGCAGGCACACGCTCTGGCCCAGAGGGAGCAAACCGGCCGCTAGAAGGGCCTAGAGGGAGGCTCTACAGGGGTAAGATTTTCCCCTAGTCTCTTCTATAGGAGGGCTTTTGTGGGTAGGTCTTGGAGGATGAATAGGAGCTCGAATTTAGGAGACCAGAGGAGCAAACAGCCCAAGCAAAGGTCCTGAGGTAAGAACAAATTTGGTAAGCTGGCAAAATAAGATGTAGCTTGCATGAGAGGAGTGTAAGATGCAGGGAGAGAAGAGGGTAGTGGTTAGCTGGGGTGGGATTCTGGATGGCTCTGAATACTAAACTAAGATTAGCCTGTATTCTGCAGGACATGGGGAGCTACAGAGAGTTCTGGGCAGCGAAGGGGAAAGTGTGGTCAACACTGCTTGTTAGATTCGGCAGACAGGAGGC